TTTTATCTATTTCGATTTTATAAATGTTCGAACCGTTTTAAATTCGAATTTGTTATTGCGTATCGGTTCGATTATAGAACGATTGTAAACGTTCCAGAAAATTGATCAAATTGAAAATAGTTCGTTTGATTCTCGGCAATTCTCTTCAGCGGTAGGTGTTATATAGACCTAACAATTACTATGGTTATTGAAATATTGAATGTAAATGGGGTTTGCTTGCAAAACCTCCGCGGACGAAGTCGCGGGTAACAGCTAGTATGTATATATAGATATAGATGTATTTACTCATTTATTCACATACTGTTTAATATTTAATCTGCATGCCTATAAACATGTGTAAAACCTATAGTGATTATTAAAACAATTGCTAATTACAGCGAAAACACAAAACTTTATGAACGAAAACTATTAGTTATTTTCACTAAAATCAATCATAACATGTTTGCGAAATGTCAACACGAATTTGTACTCGTAAGAAATAAAACAATTTATTTATTTATAAGTAATTATTTACAAAGCATAGATATCATGACGCATTTGATTTCAAATTTTACAGACTCGTATAAAAACGAATTTGTAAATATCAGTCACGAAACACAGTCATATTTAATTATTGAAATGAGAAAAGAATTTGTTAATGTTAAGTACGTAAAAAAAGTAAATGTCAAAAAAATCAGAGATTGCGAAAAGTAAAAATTCTAAAAAGTGTTGTTTAATTATTTTTCTCTACAAAACACACGAATTATCAAGTACGGAAATGCATGAATAATAATAGGAGGTTATATGCATTTCGTGAAGAAAAACTCATTTAGAAGATCATCAAAGTTTATAGGTAAAGCTATTTACACGTTTTCAAAAGTGAATTCTTCGCAAATAAAGTTCTAATTTTGAACTTTCAGTTAGTGTATGCACAGTGAAAAAGTATAACCATGATCATAACATAAAGAAGACTGACGCGACAGTAGACAAGGCCATACAACAAACACCGTTCTTCTCACTAATTCACTTCTAATTGTTCTGACGACTTTAAACGTTATTGGCACGTTTTAAACAAAAAGCCTAAAAGTACGTGTAACCAGTAAATGGAAGCAATGTTTCTGCCCAATTTAAATGATGGCGAATCACCAGTTTTTTTTCTTCTTAAGGAGAATCAAATTGTCAATCACAACATTTATTATTATCGGATTTTAATTTTCTCCAAATCCTTTACTTGCAGGAAAACACGAACCTCTGCATATATAATACATCCTCCATAGTGTAAATGTGATCGATTAATATTGCTATAATTAAACGTTAATTTTTCGAAGAGTCTAGAGAGCAGTTTAGATTTTTATTCTTAAGCAACCTTGTATGATTTTTAAAAATTAGAACGTTGCAATCAAAATAAAACTTTTTACCAGTTTGAAAACGTACATAAGTAAAGATAAATACTTCCAAATGATTCAGAAAGATACTGTACATAAATTCATAATAATTTACGATTTTTTAAAATGTTAAATTTGTTTTTTATCTTTCTAACACTTTCGTGTCTTCTATTCTTCTATATATACAATATAACTATTGTGCTTTTATTTCCATTTAATTTTCATTTTCAAAGAGTATTCGCTGTCATTTGAATGATCCGAAGTGAAGTAAGATTGATAGGTTTTTGTAGAAAGTTTATGAAAGTTTGGTAGTGAGGGAGAACATAATACAGTAGAGCGTCGATTATCCGAATCAATTGGGACTGTGGTTGTTCAGATAACCGATTATGTACGAAAAAATAGTTTAACGTATCCGATGTTGAATGTTTCCTCCTTTGCGTGTCGCTTCGCGTTGAATTTTCGTCGATGTTAAGCCTAACGAAGACTATTGTATCGTTAAAAATTCTTTTTTTATTTTGTACAAACAAAACTAATACATTGAAAAATATAAAAACAACAAAAATTATACTTCAGAAGTTAATTTAGTATGAAAAACGTAAAATATTTGAGTAGCCCAAGACATCGCCAAAGATTGCAGCGCCACAGCACTGGCGAAAATTTAAATTTGCCGACTGCAATTCTTTCGGATAATTGACGTTTCGGATGATTGACTTTCGGATAATCGACGCTCTATTGTAGTTAATTGAAAAGAACTGTTGGAATATGGATGGATAGATATTGAAAGAAGTTGAACATAAAAAAAGAGGATCTACTGTTTGCCCTGCTTTACAGTTGTTAAACAGTTAAAAGCACATTTCCCAACCGTATTTATATAGTTATTTACAATTTTATCATTTTGGTTGTTGGAAGAAAATGAGTTCCACCTACTTATTGCCTGTGTTGTTCAGCGTTTTTCTAAGCTCTACCTTCGTGTTTCTTGGGCTCTATTGAGTGTTTTTTCCTGCTGTTTTTTTTTTTTGTCATTTTAGTTAGTATTTGTGTTACTGCTTAGATTTTGGGTCAGTTTTTCGTTCTCAATAGGCTAGACTCTTCATTTTCACGTGTTTCTCATTTGTTAGGCTAAGCTGTTACGCTTAGCTAGCTCAATTTCTGTTTTGGCTTTACCAGGCAGAAACAGTTAGTTACTTTCATTTAATCGATATATATTTACTTCTTTTTAACTACCAGTCGATTATCTTTCTGGTTTTGGCTGGTATTTGTAAATTTTCAGTTTTTAGGGTATTTTTCAGTTAGTTAGTCTTGTCTACGTTTAGGTCGAAGTTATATGGTTCTCTTTTTGTAGTTTGTTAAGTGTTCAGGTGTTTAGCTTTCCCTATAATTTTGGTTTTTCTCAGTCAATTAGTTTTCGAGTTTTTTAGGGTTTATCTAGATTTACTGCATTACAGTATTCGTTGTTTTTCGGTATTTTCTGAGTTGTTCTTTAGCCTTTTCGGTTTGAAGTTCATAGTTAGGCCTCATATATTTTAAATGAAATAATTTAGAAATATGATTAAACATTGCTGTCCAACATTGTGACGATCTCACAAGAAATTGTTTCGTTATCTATATTGTTACTACATAAATATTAACTTATATGGAAGTACACAACATAAGAAGCAATCGAAGATTTAAAATATATTTTGTGACCAAATTAATCGTCTGGCATGCATACAAATAATAAGGGCAACATCAACAAATAAAAACTTTTTTTGGTTTTGGAGACATTGTTGCAGGAATAAGAAATCTAACTCTGTTGAAAAATATAATGCTGACATTTACGATAAATAGTAAAATAATACATAATAATTGCAATGGACGTGATAGAATGTGTAACATTACACATCTATTACACTACATAGGCTACAGAAATTATATTCTGTAATAAAAAAACTTTATACAGTAGATCCCCTATAACACGGATTCCTATAATTACGATTCCCATAAGACGGCGAAAAAATTGCATCGGTANTCGAATCCCATAAAAGTCTGGTGAAACCAAATTGAAAAAAAATAGAGCTCAGCAGAAAAATCTAAATAAAAAAACTTTTCAAAGTTATGGTATTAAAATTTTGGAAGCTGATTTGACAGTAAAACTAAACATGTGACTAAACCTCCTATTATACAGAAAACAACTACAGGAAGTTTTGGACGAAAAGTCATTATGAAATTTAATCGGGAAAACAAGCATTGTCGCTGAAAAAATGCTTTTAGCTTTCCTGTACTTTGCGCCTTAAAGTCATTACATTGTATTAATTGGGTTGAACGTTAAAATATGTTTTAGTAGTATCAGCGAAGAAACTTAGTATAAAGCTAGAAGCCTTTTTCTGTAAAAATGCTTGTTTTCCCATTTATTATTGAGGTGGCAATGCTTTATGCAAAATTTTCTTTAGTTGTAATCTGAGTAATATGCACTTTGTTCACATGTTGAGTCTTACCGTTAAATCTGCTTCCACTATTTTTTATGCCACAACTTCAAAAGTTTCCTTCATTTAGATACTTCTGCTGGCCTGTACTTTTTCAACAAGGTTTCACCTGTTTTTTTATGAAATAAACAGTGTTTTAAGTAATCATTAAATATTGTGTTTAAATACAACCGACAACAGTATTATCATATACTATTTTATTTTTATTTAACAACTAACTTTAGATCAGTGTTTCTCAACGGGAAAAATCCTGATCTCAACATGGAAAAACCCCCATACGGGGGCGATATCGCCCCCGTATGAGGGTTTTTCCATGTTGAGGGGCGAGGTAACAATTTGTATATTAGGGGAAGGCGAAAAACAATTTTCTGGGTGATATAATTATATGGGCGATATAGTAAAACATTATATTAGGAATTAGATATTTTTTTTATTATATCGTACAATAATTAAACAAATAACATTATATTAGTCAATAGTCTATTGAATAGACTCTATTCAATGCACTACGAATTTGGCGTTAGCCTTGGCCCTCGGCATCGGAATTTTGAAGTGAAGGGGGCGATACTACGTAACGGTTTAATTGAAGGGGGCGACGAATCGTTACGGGTTGAGAAACGCTCTTTTTGGTGTTGCTCAGTTTAAGAAAAGAATAAGATATGTCTGTTTTTGGTTGTGTTTCAACCAAATGTTTTATTTGTTATCTATAATAAAGACATCAGTCCCTTCATATATGAATATATGTACCACTCTAAAAAAATTGTGGTATGTCAATTCGGAAAAATATTTTAGTGAGAAATATTTATTTTTGTACATACTTAACAAAATCATATCATTAATAGTAATTATTTACATCTTGACTATTTAGCAGCTTCAACAGGCTTCAAAAACAGCTGAATATGTCCTGAATGTAAGGTATAGAGAAAAACGTTTACAAAATCGTGAAATTATTTGTCAATACCGAATACTTTTTGTCATTTACGAATTACTAATATCGATTTGTAAAATATAGGAATTATTTAGGAAAATCTGGTAAAAATGATCAAAAATTATCTTTAAAATTCGAACACGTATATTCATTTGTAAAATTTCTATAAAACATTCTTCAGTGTAATGTAAAATTAAACACGTATATTTTGTTATTTATTACCTGTTGAACTTTAAATGGTGACTGCATTACAGATATTCCAAACAATTTTAAAGTGATAATGCCTTTATATTTTTCATAGTATAAAGTTTCTTCTGGGGTGTTGGACATTTCGATTATAAGCTGAAAAAATCTCTACCAATTTTCCGGATGCAGAATAATTTTAGACGTAATACCAAATTTGTGTAAACACTTGGAATGCTCGAAATCTGCTGCATTTTCCATAATTTCCTGCAGTACATATTTAATATCATAAATAATACATTTATTTATTTGGCACGGTGTTAGTTACAATTACCTGAATGTGGGAATTTACAGTGTGTTCAGCACGATGTCTATAAAGCATTAGTCGATTTTCTATTTCTGGTATAACTGGAGGTTTCCACAGAGGAGGTTTACCTTCTGCATGATGCCACACGTAAATAAATCCGTATTGCTCGATAGTTTCCCAACTTTTTATTCTAGACATTTCTGGAACTAAATTTAAAAACATAGGATACTTGGTGTTCTATTTAATATTATTCTAAAAGCAAAAGATATCTTACCAGCATTGCGAGAATATAATCGTATGGCGCATTGGTTCTAGTGCAATATTTACTGTTATTTTAATTAATTCTTCTAATAGGACACGCGTGTAAATCGAACTGTAATTTTGTCGTAATTCGTAAAATTTTCTATCTCTGTTGATTGCAAAGGAAACAGAAGAAATTTATTATAACATATTGCATAAAGGGAAAAAAGTCTGATTATAAAATATGAAAGCATTGCGTAATTTATTACAAAAACTGTTAACTTTATTTTGACGTCGTACATTTGTAAAAGGCAACGATATTTGCTGCAGAAAACGAAGTAGACGATTGAAGCTGTCAATGTATGTGGCACCTAACATATCTGGCCACTTCCATCTCGATTTGCGTATTCAGCAGGTCAAAACAACGCATGGATGGAGTGCTGACACCAATCCAACTTCCCAATATGATGATGATCCTGCTACACTAATATATTTTGTTATACCTGCAGGAATAAAATTTCGAAGTCAAATCAAAAATTGGTGGTGATGGAACAGGGTTGTATTTTATTACTCGCGTATAAGACGAGGTTTTCATTCAATGTTTCAAAATCCTAGATCATGCTACACGTGCAAGCGAAGGATATTTGGCGTTGTGGCAAACCTAGCGACACGTCAACATGTCCCTTACTTAGTTTTTGTCTCTCTCTCGAGTTCATTCTTACCACGTGCATTGTACTGGTGCCAGTCCTTGTACCCCAGTTCGAAATAAAATTATTTTATATTTTTAACATCTCTGATTATTTGATCTGAAACCCAAAGCGGTTTTGCAATGATTTCTCTGAAACATGTATTATTTTATGCTGCTATTATAGATCCTTTGTTGGTTGTGCGCCTTAATATGAGCATTTCATATTTTATTTTTGAATAAACGAAATAAAATTAGAATTGTATCAATATTAATAAATTTAATTTCTTTTTTATTTAAGTCACACATCTCCTATATGCGAGATCGTGTTAAACGAGTAAATACGGTATATTGCCAATACAGTAGAGCCTCGATTACCCGACTTAATTGGGGACTGGGGTTAGTCGGATAATTGAAAAGTCGGATAACCGAAAAGTATGAAAAAGTCCATTATTAGGGTAGTATATTATTATATCCCATGTAATTAGTAAATTAGTATATTAGTATATTGCTATTAACCCACTTTGCGTTGAATTTTCCTCCGTGTTAAGCCTATCAATTTTTTTTAAAAAATAATAATCGTCGCTATTGTATCGTTAAAAATTAGAAAATTAAGCCTCGTTTAAATAGTGGCTCCCTTTCATGGTCGATCCAGTGTTGCCAGCTAAAACACGTAAAAATAATATTAAAGTAGCCAAGACATGGCCAAAAATTGTAGCGCCACATCACTTACGAACATTTGAAATTTGCCGACTAGGACGGTCGGTTAACCGAGGGGACGGTTAATCGGGGGTCGGATAATCGATGCTCTACTGTACAATAATACAACAGTATTTTAAGCCAGTGACTCACGGCTGAATGTGAATCAGCTGTTGTGCTGTAATCCTTGTTGAAAACATGACACAGTTGCTTGTAGTAGCAAGTTGTGCCAAGTTTGCCAACTGTAAAAGATATAAATATAACAGTCACAAGTCGATGAATAAAAGACTATCAACCTGCTCACCCCACATACCATTTAGTGGTATACATTATGGCAATTCACCATTTTAGAAATAAGTGTCTAGTTAATCTATACAATATTTTCTCTTACTTGATAATCGTAACGATTCACTAGGCACTTCTTTCTAACTAGGTGGATCACTTATCTAATAATTCACTAGGTGTAACCTGGCATAAACTCGTCATAACGTTCCAACAGTAAAATCTCAGTGCGTGAACCCTGCTTGTGGTGTCAGTTGCAAGTACCAGATAAATTCCTGCTTTTTACATATTTGTCTTAATCTTTCATATATTTTTGTATGTGTTAGTCTTTTCACATGCTTAGAATTTTGCTTATTTTTTCAGTAGTGAAGATCAGGTCGCTTCAACTGTTATATCGATTTAAGTCAATGTGTTACATTGTTAATCAGCTGTGGTCAATGTTGTCCATGCGTATAAGACATGAACACGGTGCGCTACAATTTGCAGACTGTTCAATGCTTCTTTTTAATTGCGATGTTGACAATGTCTGATGCTTTATAATTTGTCATACTAAAATATTACATTGTATCTTGAAGTTAAAAAACTGCTTTCAATATATAGCATTCATTACAGAAATGCTCGTGTTCAATGAATTAATTTATTTAACTGTATTCATCGTAGATAAACTAATGCACCATATTGATATACTTTTGCAATGTTAAGAAAGTCAGTTTTACGCGTGAATCAGCCTAAATGTATTAAGTATACATGTTTTTAGTAGTTCTCACTTTCTTCAGCGTAAGGTATTTTCACGCAAGAACCGTCCTGTCCAGCAAATCGCCATCCGTGGAAAGGACATTCGATGCAATCGTCGTGAACTTTTCCATCAATTCCTAAATGAGCGCCCAAATGAGGGCAAAAAGCGTCTAAAACAAAACATTTCCTTGTCTTTCCACGAAATATAACAAACTGCTGACCTGTAAAGTTATTAAAATTATTTCTTATCATAATATTTTAAAATTCACTATTTTATTGATTTATTAAATGTATTTCGCGTAAATATACATAATATATAATATATCTTTATAATAAACNACGTTTAGTCAAACGAACTAATTTCAACGTTTCTGGAACGTTTACAATCGTTCTATAATCGAACCAATATTCGAATTTTATGTTCGAATTTAATTCGAATATTGTTCGAATTTGTCATTTTAGAGTATAATATAAGTAGTTGAATACTTTAATTATAATACTAAAATTTCCGTATGAAATTGGACATTTTAAAGTTTGTATATACAGTACATTAAAATCTCGATATATCATCACCCTGAATAGTGCCAATCAATACTAAGAAAAGATCTTTCCATATATAATAGAGAACTCTTCAATATCTACGAATTACAGTCGACCCCCTATAACACTGTTGATAATTCCATTTTATATGAATTCCATGTTGTGCGAGTCACTTAGATTTTACAAATACGTGAGCCGTTCCCAGCCCGGCACACGTATTTGTAAAATCTAAGTGACTCGTACAATATGGAATTCATATAAAACGGAATTATCAACAGTGTTATAGGGGCAGTGGCGTAACGAACATAACTGGCGCCCGGGGCACGACACTTTATTGGCGTCCCCCTTCAGAAACACATATAGTTTGTCTTGGAGACCATTTGGGCGACCCTCTGCGAGTGGCGCCCGGTGCATGATACACCCGCTTGCACCCCCTCGCTACGCTACTGTATAGAGGGGTCGACTGTACTATAAGAGATATACGAATTTACACGGCAAAAAACATTGTTATCTTTACAATATATAATCCTCATTTTTGAGGTGTAGTAGACCCCTATAACGCGGTAGATACGTTCCTCCTTATACGAATTTCGCGCTCGTAGGAATCCTTAAATACACGAGCTAATCGCAGCGCGTTAGTGTTAAGTTAGTGTTAAGTTATATAGATAAAAATGGACATACATGTCCATTTTTATCTATATAACTTAACAGATAGTCAGTCAGGACAAGCAAATAGATTATAATAGAAAGTTATATAGATAAAAATGTTAAAAGTTAAAATAGATAAAATTAAAAGTGAGATATATAAAAATGGACATACATGTCCAATTATATCTATTTGTTTGTCCTGACTGACAGATTCATTCACTCACTGATTCATCATCGCCCAGAGCAAACCGCTAAACCTAAAAGTTATATAGATAAAAATGGACATACATGTCCATTTTTATCTATTTGTTTGTCCTGACTGACAGATTCATTCACTCACTGATTCATCATCGCCCAGAGCAAACCGCTAAACCTAAAGAGATGAAATTTGATACACAGTTAGGGTACGTCATGAAAACGCTCACTAAGAAGGGATTTTTCGAAATTCCCTTCTTAGGGGGAGAGGGAGAGGATTGAAGCTTAACCGGAAGAACGGTTTCTACTGTACTATTTTAGACGCGATTTTTTGTTTTTATCTGCGTTTTAGTAGGGTATGCCATGGGAATGCACAATAAGACGGGATTTTTGAAAATTCCCCCGCTGGGGGGAGATGGAAGCATTAGGTCTTAACCGGAAAAACCTCTTCTACTGCACTATTTTAGATGAGATTTTTTGTTTTTATCTGTGTTTTAGTAGGGTAAGTCATGGCAACGCACACTAAGAAGGGATTGTTCGAAATTCTCCCGCGGGCGGGAGAGGGAGAAGTTTTAGTCTTCATCGAGTACTTAGGTGTATTAAATTAATAACATTTCAGACATTGTTATAAATATTTTTATCTATTTCGATTTTATAAATGTTCGAACCGTTTTAAATTCGAATTTGTTATTGCGTATCGGTTCGATTATAGAACGATTGTAAACGTTCCAGAAAATTGATCAAATTGAAAGATTTTTCNTGTCTACGTTTAGGTCGAAGTTATATGGTTCTCTTTTTGTAGTTTGTTAAGTGTTCAGGTGTTTAGCTTTCCCTATAATTTTGGTTTTTCTCAGTCAATTAGTTTTCGAGTTTTTTAGGGTTTATCTAGATTTACTGCATTACAGTATTCGTTGTTTTTCGGTATTTTCTGAGTTGTTCTTTAGCCTTTTCGGTTTGAAGTTCATAGTTAGGCCTCATATATTTTAAATGAAATAATTTAGAAATATGATTAAACATTGCTGTCCAACATTGTGACGATCTCACAAGAAATTGTTTCGTTATCTATATTGTTACTACATAAATATTAACTTATATGGAAGTACACAACATAAGAAGCAATCGAAGATTTAAAATATATTTTGTGACCAAATTAATCGTCTGGCATGCATACAAATAATAAGGGCAACATCAACAAATAAAAACTTTTTTTGGTTTTGGAGACATTGTTGCAGGAATAAGAAATCTAACTCTGTTGAAAAATATAATGCTGACATTTACGATAAATAGTAAAATAATACATAATAATTGCAATGGACGTGATAGAATGTGTAACATTACACATCTATTACACTACATAGGCTACAGAAATTATATTCTGTAATAAAAAAACTTTATACAGTAGATCCCCTATAACACGGATTCCTATAATTACGATTCCCATAAGACGGCGAAAAAATTGCATCGGTATCCGTACAAACCTGGTAAAAAAACTCCTATAATTCGGTAAAACGTCATCGGGCAGCCGAACTACTTTCCGCCGTCCAGCGCCACGCTACGGAAAGTTTAGGCGAGTAAGTTGTTTACTATCATCTGTACAGTATGTAAATTACGTATCTAATACAGCACTAATACAGTCTAATTTTATACATTTCTTGTGAAAAAAACATTTCTTATTCAACGGCGATAAAAATTATTTATGTTAATGATGTCTCCTAAGTTCAACGAAGTTTTCGCAAAAAAATAACTTATCAGAAATCGTCCGCCTTTTGGTGCGCTGCTCCGCGACGAAAACAAGCTTGAGCAATGGCGACGTCGAACGGTGCACACTCCGGTAAGTAATCCTACAATTTTTTGTTTATAGCATAGTTCATACGGATTATTCCTAAAAAATTATACATATTTTGGAAATATTGATTCGAATTAGACTAGAATCGATTAATTTTATGGAAGAAAACCTTTCAAACAGCCGTAGTCCGTAAACTTCATACGTGTCAGGCTGTGATTGGCAAGGACTCGTACAAAACTGATTCATAAAGAACGGAACGTATCTACCGTGTTATAGGGGGGCGACTGTATTAACTACATTCCTATATTTTTCAAATAGAATAAAATGTAATTTCCTATTTGATTACAGTGTTCTTCACGTTTTCATTTTTATTTAAATCAGTTCTTCACAGTGTAATATGATTAATATTTTTCTTTCTATTGTCTTAGTATTTTGTATGTATAAACTATTATTATTATTTCAAATTTTTATTTCGATGCAAGAGTAATGTTACTGAACATAAAACTTATTATATTATTTCGAACACCCGAAAAGCACTTTTTACGTATTTATCTTTTGTTATTTCTATTATGTATTATTATATTGTGTAACTATTCGATAATATACACCACAAACGCTTTTTGTTTAAGTACATTTCTTTACAATAAAAAATAAAGTTGATTTTTTCAGTACAAATCTTGAAATATTCATTGTACTTTGAATAGATATAAAACACGTATTTGTAAATGAAAGTATGAGAAAAACGTCTTTTCTTCCACGCAATTTCTGTCCCACGTGCATTCACACTTCGCTCGAAATTGAAGGCGATATGCAATAAATTATGACAATTTTTTTAAATGCCATCAAATCTTTCAACTTTAAATTTAAAAACGCAAATCTTTATTTTAATTTGTGTATAACTTTTTAACCAGTAAACGACTTTATTGGGCACGAGCCCAATTAAGTTCGTGAAGTTTAAGGCTGTTGAATCGCTTTAAACTCACGCTAAGTGCAGAACCATGATGAACAAACTCTTAAATTCCTGTATTCGATAAAGATACTAAAATCATTATTTATGTGTTGTGAGAAAAGTAAACCGTGTAAGAGGTTTCACATTATATCACAATAAAATAGTCAAAACAAACAATTAATACTCCTAATCATCATAGATAATGTAATGTTTTAATGTCTTACCTAGAACAGAAACAGGCTTGCACTTCCCAACAGGTAAATCTTCAGATTCTAACAAAGGTATCCATCCATTTGGATAAACGGGAGGACATTTTTTCGCACTTCTTAATCTATTTGTTTCTTTTAATAACTGCACACGTTTTCTACGTAATTCCTTTGCATTCATTCTTCCATCGTCATAACCGATATCTGTCATGTCCTGAACCGATAAACGTTATTGTTAAATAGTAAATAATATTTAAAAATTAAACATTTGTTTATGTTTACTTACCACAACTCTATTATAAGTAGAAAACGAAAAATACATGATCACAATAGGAAGAAAAATTAGAATCAGTAGATAGGGTTTATTTATAATTGTCGTACTAATGGATTGAAACACGTCCAGAAACCAGGGATATTTCCACAATTTCTCTGCTACACTACCGTACACAAAAGTGAACATATTTCTTTCAATAATAATCTTGAAATGTCTGAAATAAAATAGCCAATTATATTGTTTAATAATTTAATAACTTTTCTCAATTTAACACTTATAAGCAATGATTAAAACTGGTTATTTCAATAGATTAGTATTGATGCAGTTTGGCTTCCTGTCTTGATAATAACAATTAATTTAACGTACTGTACAATATTTGTTACATCATATCATCATTATAACCATTAGTAGCCAGATAAATATCAGTTTATAAAGTTAATAGTGTGAGATAAAGGGGCATTTCCGAATTACCTTTCTCACTATCAGGATATTTCATATCGAAGTTCAGGAGAGATTGGCGAGATTTCTCCTTAACTTATAAGCGTGGACAGTTGCTTTATTTGATTATAGAAAAGTTTGATAGGAACTAGGCCCTAAAATAAGATGAAAACGAAAAAATGAGAACTTGGGATTTGGAGATCTAGAACTAGTTGCAAAAAATTAGAGAAAGAATAGTGTTTCTGAAATGACACACTTTTTTTTAAGTGAAATCTTGTCCAATCAAAAATTGCCAATTATAGTTATAATAAAATTTTAATACTCACGTTGTATTGTGTATTAAAATTATATTATATCCGCGAGAAGTGAAACTAGACCTCACTGAATTATCATTGTGAGAATACAGGTGAGAATTTAGCCTCTAGTCGTCGAGTCGCAAAACCCGCTCACTTAATCACTGGATGACTCAATAGGAGAGTCTTAAAACTATCCAGCGAGGAGGTCGCGAGGACGTCGATAGGGTGTCCGTTATTCCGAGAAAGACAGGTTAACAGATAAACAAAACGAAAAGTTTAATAAAACAATAAAGCATATATACAAACTAGCTACGGTTACAATTATGAAGGTAATATAAGCGTACATCTAAAATTCGATATCTACAGACTCTATTCTAAATCCAGGTCGCCCAGAGAGTTTACAAGTAGTTAATTATCTGTGGTATCACGTAATAGAATATCCGTCATAACCATCCGTTGACAGCGGTGACACCTGCAAATGTGTCATCACTGGACAAGGAAGTTTAAAGAAAATCGACTCAAAAGTCTCCTATTTTTTTCCGTTTGGTTTAAGATTCTCCCTGTGGACGTTATTAACTAACAACTTTCTCGCGATTTACAATTGATTGTTCAAAATCTTTCTAAACCGTTTTCCGGTGGATGTAATGGGGAAAGAACCTCTTGTGAAAAACCCCTCTTTAACACGAGTATTTTAGTCTATTGTTTACTGTTAAAATGAACACTTGCTCGTTTATTTTCTAATTATCGTTAGAACAGACAAGTTTCTGAAATTAACGCGTTTTTCGTTAAAATTTTACAAGAGAATAGCTTTCAGATACACAAATCAATAGGTGAAATTGTTTTCAGTGTTTTCCTACGCTTTGCTTGATAATTATCCGTTTAATTAATATGTATTTTTTATCTAAATCAATATATTCGAATTGTAATATAAGATTTCTGTTAACCATGTTCTACAGAAAATAAATATAGTCAATCATTTAAGTTATTCTAATTTAATAAGACAAAATAATACTTATTCATAAAGTAAGTACAAAATAAGTTCGTGTACTTTGTGCTGACTGCGAAATGTTTATTAAAAGCGTTGATGGTTTTATAAACGCTACTTAAACTAATCAAATATAAATATTTAAGGATCGGAGTTGAGCATGAACCTAGTATAATCGTGGTTTTCTATGTCAACAAAGTCGTTTTTTATAAAATATTTTGTGTGGAGAATGACTAGATTTATTCCGGCATTTATACTTTAATAAGGTATAAAAATCTAATTTCTATAATTTATATAAGTGATTTGACTATCCTCTGTCTATTACATATAAAATAGAACAAGTAGGGCGATCAAACGAAAAGTAATCTTTGTAGATTCTTATATTTTTGTGCTCGGAAAACCTGGAAATGTCAAAAAAAAATGCATAACAATTCGAGATAGTTTCTGTATGTATTGATGTTAGTGTGAGTGAGGAAGGCACGATTTTGTTCACTATTTTTCAAGCTTAATAATTCTTGTGGTTTTTGTCGAAATTTTCTAAATTTTGCAGGAAAGTTGGGTTGTTGGGCAGATTAATTCTGTTAAATTTTGGTAATTAACTAAACCTCGTGCGAGTGAGGAAATAGAAAAAATCGTGTGTATCTCCATTATGGTCGGATTTAATGTCGATATTACTGACGATAAGCATTCGCATCTTTTTATAAAATCCGTCCCTACCCTGAAAATTAAGCTTATTTTATTGTATAAAGATAAAAAATAAAAAGTTTGTATAGCCAAAGCTCACAATAGATAGCGCATCACATGATTTTATTTATTTTGCTCCATACTACAGAATGTTTTTTAAATAAAAACTCATAACAGCCAATAAAGTTACGCAACGTGTTTTTGGATTATTTTTTACTTATTACACTTTGTTACTTTCAGACATTCTTAATACGACGGTAAACACGATAACAACACTATTTAAAGTAGGTTTCTTAATTTAACTAGCGAATGAGCCCGGCATTGCTTGGGTAGAAAGTAACGATAGGAAAGAGTAAGATTATTACATTATGAACGATGTTATCTGTTTTCAACGGGTGCAAAAATTACGGCTTTCTCTTCCGAGACTAATTAGAGAATTTTTAGAATCACACTGGGATAATAATAATTAAGTCTAACTGCAATTACTAACCGGTGCGTAGTGCCACTAAGTAATAAATAACAAACGTTTTTGTAACTGTTTCTGAGTTATACTTCAGGTTTACTTAATTCCAAAAATAAGCTGGATCTTCCAGAGTTAAACCTTTTCCACTCCACCGAGGGAGAATTTCCAAAAATCCCTTTTTATTCTCATGGCATACCCTATTAAAACGCGGCAAAAAACGCAAAAAAACAACATCTAAAATAGTACAATAGAAGCCGAATTCTACAAGGTGATCCTTAACCCTCTACCTCTTCCCTGCCTGGGCATTTCCAAAAAATTGTTATTAGGATGCATTTTTATGGTGTACCTTACTAAAGCGCAGTTAAAAATAAAAAAATTTCATATAAAATAGTATAGTAGAAGCTTTTTTTTTTAGAATAAGCCTTATTCCTTTTCCTCTCCCCGCGGGGAGGGAGAGAATTTCGAAATATCCCTTCTCAGTGTACATTCTCGTGACCTACCCTAACTGTGCACCAAATATCAACTTTCAAATCCTAACCGTTCGGGCTCTGAATATTATTTTTTAAAATGTAAAATCATTTACATTAGTGATAATTAAAAATTAACGGGAAAAAATTATAAATCGTAATAAGTAAATCAAAAAAATTAATCAGACAAGAATACGAGGAGTTAGAGAAAATACAATTTATTTTTAAACTTACGAGAAAAAAATATATATATGCATCTTTCGATAGTAAATGTACTGTACATTAAATGTGAAATAAAAAAGAAAACGAGAAAGGAAAGACATAAATGTAGAAAAATTTCTATACTTTTAACTCGGTTCTTTAATTACAAAATTAAATTAATATACAGTTGACCCCCCTATAAGATATAGATACGTTCCAATTTATTAGGAATCCGATTTCTTACAAGTCGTTCCAATCACAGCCCGACACGTGTCAAGTTTACGGACTACGGCTGATTGAAAGGTTTTCTTCCATAAAATTAATCGATTCTACACTAATCCGACTCAACATTTCCAAAATACGTATATTTTTTTGTAGTTTTATAGGAATCGTAATTATAGGGACCGTAATTATAGGGGGGTTGACTGTAAAACACTTTTTTAATTAATAAAATTATTTTAAAACTTCCAATTACTGTATATGAGAAAAATTTCTTTAATATCATATGAATAAAATAAATATTTTGAATATTCTGTAAACACTAAGATTATAGGTCTATATCAATCGTAAAATTATACACAATATCATTGAATGAATATTTAGAAATATCTCTGACCTAGATCTAAAAATGAGATAAGTTCAATGTTATATTTCAAAATCTTACACAGAAGATTTAATTATTTTATCATAAAATTTATACAAGAATTTATTACTTAATTAATTAGGAAAAGAGTCGTGCCGATCATCTATCTAACTGCTTTCAGCGAAAAATGTTCGAATTGAAATAATAACCTGAATTTCGGTTTACACCGAAAGTGTGTACAGTAATACCCCGAACTTACGCGATAGGTGGGACCGAGCGATAACCGTGTAAGTCCAATTCGCGTAAGTCGGGGTATAATTTCGCATATAAATACATACATATAATTTTTCATTGGGGCCGGAGACTAAAGAAAACAATAATTTAGGATAAAATCTTTAATAAAATCTTAGATAATACATATGCATAACAAATTAGCCCTATATTATTTTGCAATTTTTCACATTTACTTGATTATCACACTATAATTTTAAGATTGTTTCCATCTCAGGGATAATACCGTAACGTTTACGAATGATGCTTGAATTTAAAGATTGAGCATTTTTTACAACTTAGAGAATTTTTTCTTTACCTTTTATAATTGTTGTGACCGTCGATTCTTATAGATCAAACTTCTTTGCCAATTGACAAATTTTCATTTTTGTATCGAAGTCTTTAATAATGTTAACTTTACATTCCAAAGATAAAGTTTTTCTTTTCTTGTTTGATGTAGAAAAATCAGTTTTACTTCGTTTGGATGACATAGTAGAGTCTCTCGAGTCTCCGTACATATAACAAACACAGAAATAAATAACACAAAATAAATTGTAGCTATGTGTCGATTCCGCGCGACACGTCTGCCACAAGCTTTTCACATGTGGTGTCGTCTTTCATGTATCTTACTCCGTTCTCTAAATTAAAGAACAGATATACTAACGAACATTAAGAGAGCGGAAATTTATAGGAATAATAATTTTTCAAACTGTAGCCCAATCAGAAACTTTTTTATTCTAAATCTCTAATCAAAATGAAAGGAAATATCAAGCAACAGAAATATTTTATTATTACTTTCCATAAGGCGACTGCAGCAGTCAGAGTCTTACAAATTAAAACTGAGTAATCATATATTAATTTTATACTGTAATATTGAAAACGATAAGTGCAATGATGAGTGAAGATTATTTATACCGAGCAACACGATTATTTTCGACCTAAATATTATGCACTTGAAAATATTCTTACCTGATCTAGATCATTCACGACCGAATTTACATCTGATTCAAGAGTTAAAAGTTAGAAGGACACAACTTTCTGTTTTTGCCCGGAAAAAGATCAGATATAGCGATTTTTTTATATGTCAACGAACACTCATTTTCGCTGAATGTACTCGTACAAGACAAGTTCCACAGGTCAAGGATTGGATCAACGATAATCGCATTCTTCGTTCCTTAATTTCTGTTGATATGCACTGTACATAAAATCAAGTAATTATTTATTGTGACATTGTCACAATGCCGGGCTAAAATGTAATCATATTTTTAATTTATTTAATATAAAATATGTTCTCTTCACCTGAAATTAGCATTGTTTTGTCTCCCGTACATCATGTATTCCCTTAACTAATAGAGTTGTGCCGGTCATCTAACATCTTTCAAGAAAACCTTTTGAATTCAAATAACGTGACTTTCGATTTGCATCGGAAATTCTTATATAGTTAATCGGGATTTACTGTAGCTATTCTTTTGATATCTGTTTTTTGCTTTATCACCATATTCGAGATTAAGTAAAGACAAGCGGTTGGTCAAACGGAGGAAAGACAGTGGAAATATACAAATCTACATTTTGTTTTTCAAATTTAAGCCTAATAATTACTACTTACCCCCTTTTTAATTTCTACTTTTTTTCGTTCCAGAATTTCAATCTGCACAGATTATAAACAGGTGTTCAGAGAATACGCCGTATTCAAAAAGAAGGGATTGCTGTTGATTTGGGGTGTAGTGCAGATGTGGGAATTTTATGTAATGCTGTTTCTGAGGTTTCCGGTTTACGTTCGGTTATCCCGAAAAACACACGCACTCTGATCAAGATTATCACAGTACCTAAATGCATTGAGAATAAACAGCTCTTAGATGCCATTTATGAGCAGAACAGCCGGGTTGCCGAGATATATTCCAAAGAAGCATTTCAAAAAAAGATTAGGGTTTGCTTCCCAATTAGACAGCATAGTACCACTCTCGTTTTTTGGGTTGCAGAGGTCTCTCCGGACCTCACGTGTTTGTTCCTCAAAGAGGAGAAAGTGAACCTGCAGTGGACTAGGTGTTGTGTCGTAGACTTCTTCTCATCGAATCAATGTTTCAAATGCCTAAAATTTGTTCATTTCGCCAAGAACTGTGTAGCAGAAGATCGTACATTTAGTCAGTGTGGAGGCAATCATACCTTCAAAGATTGAGATAAGAAAACGGAAACTCCAAAATGTGTGAACTGCATTAGAGAGAATATTAAGAAAATATATCACAATGCGCTCGATAAAGTTTGTCCTGCCTTTTTTCGATCAAGAACACAGTTCATTAGAGCTGGCAAAGATCGCTCGTTCCAGATTAATCTGTACAATGCGTATTTGATAGTTCCTATGAAATATGTCAGTATTTCTATTAGATGCCTTAATAAATTTTCAGCAAGGAGCTGTGTTCTTGATCGAACAAATAAACTCAGTTTTAACATGACAAAGAATAAGGGATTCGTTTTCTCCTCTCCGTGAACTCCTGACCTTTACAGACGTGTAACGGTCAGGTCTGTATCAGATTTCATAGTGACTCCATAAAGATTGTAAGTCATCTCACTTTCCTTGGAGTAGTGATTAATCATAAACTTTTCTGGAAAGAGCATAAAAAACACATTACTAGTCGAAGCAACTCGATCTTTAATATTCTTATAAGGGTCGCCAGGTGCAATTGAAACCTTGGTTTTGTAGCAACTAATGCCATAAATGATTGTATGTTTTTACCAACCATCTCATATGCATCTGTTGTTTGGAGCGCTGCTGCCTCTCAATCTCATAACCATCGGCTTCTGAGGTCAACTGCACAACGGATTGCTTTATTACGACTTACCAGGTGCTATTCCACTGTTTCGAATGCAGCCCTCCATATGGGGGCTGGGAAGCTTCCCATCCTCCAATTTCTCCAATTTAATAGCAAACGTTTCTTTATCTGTAGAGACAGGGATGTTGATATTAATGGAACTACTTTCAATGCCACCATGTTTGAATTGGACAGGCCTGTATCCACAATTCCACATCCTTCCTCAAGGAAGGGATTTTTTTCGTCGTGTTACCTCTACAGAAATTGAAGCTTTTACAGATGGATCTAAATTAACGGATGGCACGGCAAGTGCCTTTGTGATCTTTCAAGTTTACAATGATTTATTTGCTCCACACCCAAAATGCTCTGTTTTCTAAGCTGAGATCTTTGCTGTATTGATGGCAATCAACTGATGCAACACTAACTTTGTGAACTGATAAACATTCTCACAGACAGTGCTGTGATCGTTGCTGCTTTGGAAAATAATGATAATACTCACCCAAAGATGTTCGCAACATGGGTTGCGAACGACGTCTTTGCTGCAGCTTCTACATTTTTTAACGAGTATGCTATCAACTGGATCAAAGGACACAGCGGCATTCTGGGTAAGTAACAGGCTGACTTCCTGGAACAAAACGTAATGCCTAATTTTGATACTCCTGCCTACAATCTCATTCCCGAGTCAAGGCTTAAATACCTTATCTGGAACAATGCCTTAGAGACCTGGCAGCTGGATTGGGATTAGATCCTACAACAGCACATAACTAGAAGTTTGATCCCAACGGTAAAGGAACGCGTTCACAGCAAATGGACTCAACCAACACGTAATTTAGTCCAAGATTTGACAGAACACGGGCGCTTTCGTGTTTACCTGAAAAGATTTTATTACTGTACTTTAATTCTGACTGCTGTCGGCTTTGAGGAATGCGGAACGGTGTCATGCACTGTTTATACAACTGTCCTATGCTGGATGATATCAGGCATTAGTGCATGCATTATGCCAATATGAACAATACAGACTGGCCAGTAAAGCCTGATTTTTTTACATAGCAACAGCAACTTTAACGTGTTAAAGAAATTTGTTTCACTCTATTAGATGTGGGATACGTTGATTTGCTTTCTAGTAATCTGGTTCACTTTAGCCTTGGTGCCAATGTATTTACACGCCTTGCTATGCTACAACAGAATGTATGTTTTGATGTATAACAATGTTACTTTAAAAGTTTACTTTTATATTGATTCTTCTATTTTTTAATGTATTTCGCAGAGAGGTTTGATTTTAATGGGGATTAATGCAGTTAAATTTTGGTGGTTAACTGTCGAAGAATTGAGAAGATAGCGGGGATGGTCAGTATCTTTAAGTAGGGTCAGATTTAATGATGATTTTATTCGTTATTAATATTTACGATTTTTTTTATAACACTCTTCCCTATTTTCAAAATTAAGTCTTTTTGCGTTTTATAATAATTAAAAACTTATAACGTTATTAATAATAAAATATCGTAACGGATGGCCTCACGCAAGCGGTAATTAATTTTGCTTGGAAAGTTAGAGAAAAGCGCTATTATAAAAATTTTGTCAAATCATTGATTGATTTTTATAATAGAGATAATAGGAAAATATCTTTTTTGATACAAAATGAAATTTTATTTTAGCTGGCAATTTCTTCCTTTGTTTAAAGGTTGAAAAAAGTTTCTATTTTTAATTTTTTACGTGATATACTGTAGTCACGTATTTATCAAAACTCGATTATCTAAATTCAAAAATAAACGTCTCTCGAAATATTATAGAAAACATCAAAAACCTTTACATATTGTTTAAACAGAAATGTTTTCTACGCGAGAAATAAAGCGATCGAAAACGTAATGCAACAAACATCAAAATTTCGGCAACATTCGCCAATATATCCAGTGTGTAAATTTCTATTTTTATAACTTAAAATTGCTTGGAATTTTATGATATAAATGCATTTGCAGCAATCTCCAAACGATGTTGTAGCAATCTCCAAACAAGTAAAAGAAATACGAAAAAAATAGAGCTTTTATTTTCAAAATTTATGTTTACAGCTTTTATTTTCAAAATTAATTTGTTTATTTCATATGAAAGTCCAGAATTTTCATTGAAATTCCCAATTTTTACTTGCATATTTTCTGAAGAGATTTCCTACAGTTGGCAATCGTATTCGTAAAAACTCCAATTTTCATAAATGATGGTTTACAGCTGATTTAATTTCGGATTTTTTGCAATATAAGTATTTCGGTGCGACCTTTAAAAGCAACAGCAATTTTAATACTGGAGTGAGAGCTTGTAGGGTTAATGATGAGAGAAAGTTGGATAAAGATGGAAAAATTGAATAATTTAAAGAATTAATTAATATTTTTTAACGTAGTTGTACGTTCCTCTCTCCTCTATACATCTGAAATGTAGAGGTTTTATACAGAGAATTTAAATGTGGTTTTACCTACTTTAGTTAAGAGGTTGTTTCAGCTTCCAAAATGTACTCCTGGATATTGTGTGTGTATGGAGTGTTTGTTGGTTCATTGCCTTGCATATTCTTGTACAAATGTGATAATTGGGTTTTGGAACATTATACATGCCCCATTTGTACTATCAACCAGTCATTTCACCCACATTTCCCTGCTGGTGCGTGTGGATTTACTACAATGAGTTACGCGCTCGCCTGCCAACATTTGCTCATTAAGACCTGTTGGCAGACATAATCGCCGATTAGAAAACTTACATTTTGTAAGTATATTTGAAAAATAAACTAATCACTGCGACATTAATTTATAATACTTAACGACGAAACACGATCGATTTTTCAAAATTATTTTCTATTTTTTCTTTATTTTCTCACCGCCTCCAATTAATCCCGAGTCTACTACCGAACCCATCAGTGGAAGTAGCGCCAACTTTAATATCCCCTGCATTAAAATATATTTTAATAATATCGTACACTATTTATAATTTATATTCACTATTACAAATTTTATATTTTCTGTTAAAATACTTTGGTTTGTTTAGACTCTTTAGAGTTACTGTAAGTTATATTCATGAAATAAGTAAAAATCTATTCAGAAACAGTTAAAAAATACGAACATAAATCTTTGATTCATTAGAATTTGTTTATTGAACAATTATTCCTTCTTTTATTTTTTCTATCATTCTACCACTCACAAGCATTTACATTTCTTATCTATGCATTTTCCGTTTTTCTTATGATTTTTACCACAATATATAACACACCAAATACCCTCGAAATCACAGCTTACCATTCCTACTTTCTCATCACAGAAAACAGCTTTAAACAAAAAACTGTACATAAATATTTTGTTTCAAATAAATTTGGAATTAATAACTAATTTTAACTTACTATCGACTAATGTCAAAAATAGGATAATTAAAAGAATTCCACGGAAGTGCATCATGTTGTCACTTAGACGAATGCTGTTAATCTACAATAAATATTAAAATAAATAAAAAATATTAAAATTATTTATAATATTTAATTTTATATATCTTCATAACGCAAATAATAAATTAAATTATATAAATTAATTAAATTAAAATTCTAAAGAAGCTTTAACTGCATTGTGATAAAGATGAATATCGGGTATCAAACTGAATGAACTTTTAATTGTTATATAATTTTCTTAACATCGTAGTTCAGAGATTTTTGCAAATGTGATCAAACCTGCAATAAAACACACCGGTGAATAGACACTTTTCTAACCGGAACTTTTTTTTAAAGCTTAGAAAGTAACGTTCAAACAATGGCCACTTCGTTCAGTAATATCAAAGGCCTTTGTTGAGAGATTTGACTGTATTTGAAAATAGAAATGGCATTCTGTTCTATTCATTCGTTAAACAGAAACAACTGTCAGGAAACTCTTTCGTATTAGAATAATCTCAACCGAATCAACGTAATAAAACTCCAAATAAAATAAATTAAACAAGTGTTAATTGGCTGGCAAATGTCGATTATTAAACACATTTAGTGACCAGCATTTGGCAACTAAACAGAAAACGTTCGCTAAAACTGAATATTAGAAGTTAGTTGTTATACAGCAACTTAAAAAATTTGTAGACCTGCAAATTCCCACTGTCGACTGAATGTCTGTCCTTCCTGAATCTCCGGAACGCTGTTACGCTCATAAAAGCCGAGACCAGATTTGAAAATCTTTGGGGAAGGAGACCCCGATTAAATTCATACGTACTTCTGGTACTAACCAAAAGTCACGTTATTTGCATTCAAAAAGTTTTCTCAGATAGGAGTTAGATTGATGAGCGGCACGACTCAACAGGAAAAGTATGCTGTACAGAGGAAGATACTACTAATTTCAGGTGTAAATCATATATTTAAAATTAAATAAATGATTAGAGATTGATTAGAGATATGATTAGAGATTCCAGTCCGGCATTATGACGACCGCACAAAGAACAATTGCTCGTTTAATTTACTTATTTATCAGCACAAGAATAACTTTCTATAAAATTGCAATAAATTAAAACAATTTAAACCTAAACATTTATACTCACGTTTTATTATAAATGAGGTTATACTTTAATATTTTAAGACGAATATTAAATTTCATGCATGAAACTCGTATATAAAGTCGTCTGCAAGAATGTAATGACGATATCGACCAATAGAAACTATCATTAAATTTATGTTTACTAATAAATATTTAATGCCATTAAAACGTCTTGAATAATATATTTAGATATAAAACGAATTAAGAGTAGAAAATAAAACATAAAAATAGTTTTATCGATAAGGCACGTTTACGTTCAAAATGTGATAAAAAGAAAATAGATCAAGAATAAACAGTAGCACTCATAAAATATAGAAAATAAATAATTTTATATATAAAAATTTACAAAAGTAACTTTTATGTTAAATTGCAATTTTAATTACATTTATCGAAATTAAAAATATTCGGCATTAATCTACTGCTGTCAATTTAAAGGTGAAAAAAATTACTAATTCTAAGATTATAACAAACTAATTTTTACTTGAAATTAAATAAATATTTCCTATACAAAGCTAAATAATTTCACAAATTAGTTCGTAAGGAAAACGCTACATTCTCTTACAGATTTTAATGAGTTTTCCTCAACTATATATTAAGTAAATGATTATTTTTAGGCACAATTTTTTTAGATACGATTTAAAAATTTATGTACTGTTCATGTGAAATAAAATTCAAATATTTCGTATTCTGTTTCATACAACAATAAATTTAATTTAATTAATTATTTACCATTAAACTAAATTTTACACTTAGTTTTTGACTGAAAATTTTTACCAAATATTAAATTATAATATTATTAATATTAATATATTAGTTTTATAAATTAACAATATGTGGAAGTATTAGGTAAAAAACAATAAAATTGTTTATTGTTAAAAACTTATTAGAGTAAGGTCGCAAAGTTTCTATCAACATCTGGAGGATTTTAATGCCCATAATTACTGTTTAGTTTTATGATTCTTATCGTTTTTGTCCTGCAATTAAATTTTATTACAGAAATATTTAATCTACAGTTAATAGTTTTACTCTGTTTTTAATAATGAACAATTAAATTCAAAGTAATTCGTAATTATAAAATATTTAATCAATCAATTTTTATTTAATATATCAGGTGATAATGGGGTTAAATAATATTTTTATTTTAAGTTTGATACATGAACAAAGAAATTATATAATTTATACAAAGTTAGCGTGGCAAAACCATCACCGAATAAAATTTAATAACAAATATCAGATGACAGTGTAGCAACTCGAACATCCAAAATAATATTGCAAGAATCAAGAAGGTGTTTTCTCATATCCATCGCTGTTGTTTCACTAAAAAAAAAAATTCTGAGTTACATAAGACATTAATTATTTTACCATTTAGGTTTACCGAAAACCTATTTAGTGTAAATTGTTAAGCAAATAATTTTATTTTATAACCAGGGCTGTCTAGTCGCGTAAAAATCTACCGACTCCGACTTCGACTTCGATCAGGTGCGGACTTGTTACCGAAAGAGACCCGGAAATTCTGATGTCATTACGTGACCTCAGAATAAAAGATTCAATAAATAGAGTTCTAATAAAGATGGAACGTAGAAAATTTTTATTCCAAAGCTAAAAGACTTTTCTAAGTAATATATAAATATGTATACGATAAATTTTACTTTTTTCTCTGTAATATATAACAGATGGAAAGTGTAGCGCTCGGTTAAAAAAATGACCCCTCCCAAATTTTTACAATTCTGGACTCGGGACACCTTGAAATTTTGAGATATGCAAACGATTCAAGGTTTTTTTTCTATATGTGTGGATGTTATACTGTGTGTGTGGGGCATGATTTGTTCACCCCGTTTCAAGACTAATAATTTGTGTGGTCTGAGTGGTCAGATTTGGAGTCAGATCGTTTAACACAGGAGCTAGTTATTAAGCGTCACGGTGGTTGAACTAAATCGTGTCCCCATGCACATTCTAACATCTTAGGCGTGAACATCTTAACGGGTTTTACTCTACTATTATAAAATGGCAAAAAAGCTTACTTTGAGGGTAGAGACGACTTTTATTTTATTTTTTTTTTTAATTTTGAACGCTAATAACGAGTAAAATATTCATTAATTAAGAGATATGACACATGACCCCTTAATTAAACAGTATTAATGCCCCTTTATACTCAAGCTACAGTGCCATATTTCGTTTTTTAAACTTTACCCATTCTAATTATTGTTTAATATCTCAGAACAGAAAATAAAGAAATTAAACAAATTAGACACAAACACACACGGGCCCGAATTTTTTCCCTTTTATTGACTTTTTTGAGGGATTCGGGAGGTCTGCAAACGTGTAGATTTGCAAAAAAAAAAGAAGTTGGCGGGTCAAATTTGATGCGATACCAATACTTTTCCGTTTTATATACATAACAAGTCGGGAAGTAAAAAGAAGTCGGAGTCGGCGGATTTTTTGACTCTAGCTAAAACACCAAAACTCCACGACTCCGACTCCACAGCCCTGTTTATAACACTAATAAGACAATAAATAAGACTCTGGACTCAACATTCTATTAAGAAAAATTTCACTGTTTCAACCTCTATCACTCAAATAATATACATCTTTTAGCCAATATAAGTCTCCTTGTAGTTGAGCGCACAAATTATAAAATGTTTTGCAACGAGTGCGTAATTTATCGAGTTGCGATAAAAGTAAGACACCTAGCAAAAAAAGCTGTTTGAATTTTGTTAAAATTAACTTTTATATTATTAATTAGCTGTACTTGACCACGTCTTGCTGTGGCTCCAAATGTATCTATTATAATTGAATAACACTCCCCGCGGGAAGGAATTTCGAAAAATCACTACTTAGTGTATAATCACTTGACGTACCCTGTTAAAACGCAATAAAACACGCAAAAATCCGCATCTAAGATATAATAATAGAAGACCAGTTCATCACGGTAAGCCTTAATTTTGTTTCTTTCCCCGGAGGGAAATTTCGACATTTATATAGTATAAATTATGTAATTTAATATAATATAATTTTGGCCAAACAAGTAATTTGGTAAAATACATATTGTGAAAGTTACTTTATTGAATAAAACATCTTTTTAAAAGCAATAATTATCCATTAATAAGTGGTTAACGAATAAATTGAGATCATTCCGTAATCTCAACCACCCTTTTTTAGTATTTGTATTAATTACAGTATTAAGTAAATCTTTATTAATAAGTTTGATTGCATTCGAGGCATGAGAAGTGACCCCTGTATCTCCAAACTCTTTCGACCTTTAACCACTAAAATTTACCAGTATTAATGCTCCTTATACAAAAGTTACCATGCCACTGTTTTAAAATAATAAATATCGTTTTTTCTTCATCCAGAGATATGAAACCAAATATATGCTAACACCAAACACATCTACACGAAATTTTTTCCCTTTTTTGACTTTCTTGGTTTTAAGAAGTTCATAAACGTGGAGATTTACAAAGACACGGGATAACTAAATTAGACCCGATTACAATACTTTGCTTTTTTATGTATACATAAGAGCCGGAAAAGTAAAATGAATTAAAGTGAATTTGTGGAGTATGAGTAATGGAAATAGTAACTTTACCTTTTATTAGAAACATACTCTAATATTTAATTTTTAGTTCTTAAATGTAGTAAGTCCTTTACAATAACGACAAACCGAATCATCCATTCTTGTAATAAATTGCATGACAACAAAATAGAGAGTTGTGAAAAATAGTATACATCGATGTCGGAGGTGAAAAATCGTTGTAATCTCTGGAATAATTAGAATAAAAAATGTCTGTATTTTTCAAGTATTTTTATAAATCAGAAAATGCTGAAGAGCGTGAAATCGGCTGATTTAACCAAACGAAAGTCATTCTGCCATTTTTGCATCTAGAGAAATAAACGTGCTGAAATGATTTAAATTTGTATATTTTTTTCCATCTAACACAAACCACAGCGAGACACGCGCAGTCTACAGTGTTTCCAACTGTTTCACCTAGAGAACAGCTGTTAGTTGATGTGCGCGGGACGTTAATATGAACGAATCAGGGAAAGTCGGGGTTCTGGCAGGGAGTGTAATAGTTACCGCAAATATACAAATATATTACAAAATTTTCACACATTTACTGTTTATATAAGAGAGAATTGTTTTTCCGGTCACCTCCTATATAAAAACTTCTATTAGGTATAAAATTACGAAATAAATATACATAAAATTATTATAATATGTACTTTTTGCTTTTATATTTAAATTTAAAAACAAGATTTTAAAAGAAGAATTTGAATTTACCGCTTACGAGAGTATATTAACGACAACAAGGGCTCTAATACTTGTTTCACATTACCACATCAAATAACATATGTCAGTTCGGGAATGTAAGAAAACCACTGAATAGAAAGATGGCAGACAGGCCGAAACATTCCCTCTTTATAAATGTTGAATGTTAGTGTCATAGTGGTAAATTTATTAAAAAGTTTTATTGTTGTTGGTATTTGTTAGTTTGATTGTTGTTATTCGTAAAATATTTCAATCCAAAAATGTTTTTTAAAAAATGTAAAAAGTCGATTCATAGTGCCGTGTTTTCAAGATAAATGATATTGGAAGTACTTTTTCACAGTTTACAACTATGGCGAGAAATGTCGTATTGTTTGAAGATTGGTGGAGTTTCATTGCAGAGGAGAGACAGTGATCTCGTCTGCAATGAAACCCCAGAAATCTTCAAAAATTACAATATTTCTCGCCACTTCACTTCTAAGCATAAAAATTATAATCTCGAAGCAATATCCGAATACGAATGGAAACGAAATGCAGAAGATGGCCGCAAAAATTTATTGGGTCAACAAATGTTTTAAAGAATATAGATAGTTCTCAGAAAGTATCTACACATGCAGGTTATACTGTAGCATACAATATTGCAAAAATAATGAAGTTTCTCTACAAAGGGGAGTTTGTTTAAACACTGTATGCTCCAAGTTAATAAAGTTTTATATCCTGACAAGAAAAGGAATTTTAAACTGTAAGCTTATCTCGAAAATCTGTGACTTCTAAAAT